GATGCCCCATTCAACTCAAGAGGCAGATCATTCTGTCTTGGCCTCCTAGGGTTTGTTCTCCCTCCTTCTCTTCCTCCCCCAAGAGCTCTTGACACTGGCCTGACTTAGCTCCCATCCAAATTGATGGAATTTTTACCATTGAGTACAAGGGCAGCAGAGTTAGGCCAATGCAGAGAGCTCTGGAATTCCACCCTGTAATCTTGAGGGGTAAAACTTGTAATTCTGGGGGCTACAACCATTCATTCTTCTGCTCACCCAAATCCCTATGTGCCCTGTTAGCAAAGACCCTCTTCTAGATGGCAACCTACTGGATATCTTGTCAAGGGTTTGCAAAGAGTATAAAGCCTCTAGTAGCAGTAAGCTATTGCCTGCCTGAACTGTTAGAATTGGCATCGAGGAGGTGAGACACAACACTGGCTGATGGCTTTTATTAAAGTCTATCTCCTGCCAAGGCTTATTGATCATTACAAATATTTCAGGGCTAGCAAAATGTTACGTACTGGTCCTGCGTGCTCCTCCTCCGCTTCTCATGGCAGCAGCTGAACAAGGACCCAAGAGCTTTGGGATGCTCTGGCAACGTTTAACAAGACCGCTTTAATGCGTGGGTCATGAGCAGGGAACCTGCTGCCTAGTGCAGCCAATGAAGTACTAAGAAATACTCTTTAGATCAAGATAAACAAGACTTTTTTTTTCTTGCCTCCCATCAATGGCTCACTTCCCCTGGGCGTGCAGGGGATTTTAGTGTAGCGAAGAGTGCTGGGGGAAGAAAACACAAGCCAACAACTCTTTTCTACTTTAATCTCTTAAGTCAGGTCTGAGCTCTGTTGACTTGTGCCTTTCAGAATAGTCATTCAGGGTGATGATACAAACATCTTAGTTGGCGCACAGATGTCCAGGATACACGAACACTCACTAACCACAGACTTCTCCAGTTCACTCATCTCGATGTCCCTCTTAGTGTTTTCAAAACCAGAAAATCCCCAACGTAGCGAGCTAGCTTTGAGAATGAGCCCAATGTACTGCTGATCTGCCAGCAATAGTCACAGCTTGGAGGAATATGGAAAAAGCCCTTGCACTGCCAATAGCTCTTCAGGGTGGATTGGGAGGCAAAATATCTAGTCTCAAAAATAAGTTGAACTTTTTTTGGTGGTCTTAAGCCAGTCTCTAGCTATTAGGCCTAATGAGGTCGGGGGGCAGATTATCCTACATCTGCATACTGTGTGGCATTCTTCATCTCTGAAGAGTCTGGTACTGGCCACTGTCAGATGGGATACTCTACTAGACAGACCTCAGGAATTGCCATATTGGATTGGACACATGGTCAGGCATGAGTGCTAGTGGCAATTTCATCATGGCAGAGGTTTCCTGGAAGCCTTTTGCTGTCTGTAGTTGCTGAAACTCAGTATTCTGAAGCCTCTCAAAATGTGAATTGGCAGCTTTGATGGCTCAGATGTGAATGTGGAGGGAGACGTCCACTCAGAATGTTGCAGTTAGTCAGCAGCGAACTGCAGTTCATCAGCCCCAAAACACCCATGATGTGGAAGCTGTAGGAGCTTAGCTTTTCAGTCTAGCTTCCTGCAGCAGTGGGAGAAACTGAGCATCTGCACTTGGGCAATGACCCTACAACTGCTTTGAGATCCAAGAGCAAGTGTCTGCTAGAAGTGGCGGTGTCTCTTACTCCCAGTCCTTCAGCAAAACCATGCCAAGCTTTCTTCAGAGCTGTGCTACCCCGTCAAACTTGCCACCTTGGCTTCAGAAATCTTGAGACCATATGAGTGTAACTGTTTCAGAACCCTTCCTTGCCAGACTAGCCCAGTAAATACTCATACCCTTATAAGCAACAGACAGTGCTCTCCAAAGACTGAAATAGCGTTTCTCCTCCTCCTGCTTCAGTGTACGAATAATGAAAGTGCTTAAAGTAGTGATGTGTTGCAAACCTGCACAGCCTGAATGCGAGTAGCAGCCATTCTACTTGCTAGCTATGTTGAGGACGTTACCAGTTAACTTCATTGAAAAATAGGGCTCTTTTCTGAATTAAGGATTAGGAGATAGGAAGGTTGCAATGTTCGTGTCTCTCACATCTCGGCAGCTGGAGACTTGTCTGTCTGGTTCCTGTACCCTTAGAATCCTTCAAAGGAGCCTATGAGGTCTAGGTGCTAGCTTCACTGAAGTTCAAACCCTGCCTAAGTCCTTGGTAAAGACACTGGAAGCATTAGTCAGCACCGTATGAGGATTACTCACTGCAGTTTGAAGCGCAATAGACACTTGATCTAGATGGAGTGACTCCCTCCTGACTTCTAACCTCTTTGCTGAGCAAGTGGTAGCAAATCTACCTTCTCAGGAGGTGCATGGGCGTGTTCTAAACGACCAAGTCTTGGTGTCAAGATACAAGTAGTGCCTCAATATGAGCCCCCTTAGCCTCTGTTTAGAACATTGTCAGGGGCTGTTCTTGGGCACCCTGGCCCTCTGCCCCAGGCAGGAGGAGGATCCAGGGCTCCCCACAGCAGGCTGCCTGGGAGGTTCTTACCATGGCCTGGCTTCCAGCCTGTCCAGGGGATGGGGCTTTTGGGGGGTGGGGGTGAAGAGTGAGGGGCAAAGGCCCACCTCAGCCCCCCCCATTGGGAAGAAGCAGGTGCCACCCCTGAACCTCAGACAGGTATGAAGCAGTGCCACAGGGAATCCAGATCAAATGCTGTCCTGGACTGATTCTGACCAGGACTTGAATTTCAGGATTGTCCCACCCAATTGGAACAGGTGGTCACCCTACCCATCTTGTACAAAAAGGTAGACTCATAGACTTTAAGGTCAGAAGGGACCATTATGATCATCTAGTCTGACCTCCCGCATGATGCAGGCCACAAAAGCTGACCCACCCACTCCTGGAATAATTCTCTCCCTTGACTCAGCTGTTGAAGTCCCCAAATCTTGATTTAAAGACTTCAAGTCGCAGAGAATCCTCCAGCAAGCGACCCCTGCCCCATGCTGCGGAGGAAGGCGAAAAACCTCCAGGGCCTCTGCCAATCTACCCTGGAGGAAAATTCCTTCCCGACCCCAAATATGGCGATCAGCAGAACCCTGAGCATGCGGTACTATAATAGTATGTCTTGTAAGGTATCCTTTGAAAACTCATTTGCTGGTCAGTATCATACTGATACATAAAAATGTGTGGCAATATTGTGAAGTCATAAAATATGCCTGTGATAACACATGTTCCAAACCTCACAACCCTGCCCCAACTGAGGTTGGGACACTGCTTTGTCCTAAACAAAGCAACGTGTGCTCTGCTTAATTTGCATTTTAAGCAGTAAACAGAGTACTCAAACATGGAGGGAAACAAAGCTCAAACAGAGTAAGCCAGTAGGGAACATCCTTCCACATAGACTTTGTCTCCTACTTCCCAGCTGGAAATGTTTTTCTAGAGTGGGACTGAAACTATTAAAAAGGAGAGACAAACACTCTAAGGCACCATCTCTCTTCTCCCTGCCCATCACATTCACTGCACCTGAAGTGACAAAGAAAGAAAGCCTTGAACTCTGGGGCAGGGGTCCTGACCAACAGGGTTTCTTCAGTAAGACTGCTGAAAGCATGTGGTGAGAAACTTTGCTTGACTCTGATCTAGTTTGTTAGTTAGGTATTAGTAAACTACTTGTCTTTGTATTTCTTGTAACAGTTTCTGACTTTTTGTGCATCATTACTTGTACTCAATGTTTGTAGATGATCTTTTTTTGTTTTATTGTTTTATCTAATCCAGTGTGTTTAAATTGAAGTGTCTGGGTAACAAGTTATGTACCCATTATTCACTCAAAGGAATAATGAACTTAAAACACTTTGTACTGTCAAAGGGGGCTGGGCAATACTGGGCATATGTGACTGGGGGTATGCTGGGGTCACCCCGCAGTATAACAAAGGCTTGTGAGAAGCAGGGTGTAACTGGCAGGTTGCGGTTACAGATGCTCAGGGTGTGGCTTGCATGCTGGAAGGCTACTTGTGAGCAGTCCAGATGGGAGCTACTTCAGCAAGGCATTGTAAGGTACTCAAGGTTACAGGGCAGGGGTGACACCAGGGTACAATCCAGATTAGTGAGCAGGTATGTCACATGTACCCAACTCCCTTTTTAAGAAGGAGAGGTGCTTATAGCCTCAACTTGCCCATACTGCTCCCTTCCCTGTTGAAGAGCTGCTCCAAAGAGTGACAGGACACATCACATGAGCTGCTGACTCTTTTTGTCACATTTCTAGTCCTATGAAATTGTAAATCTATCTACTCTGCAGAATTCAGCACGTCTGGGACTTCAGCCCTCGGAAGAATTTCTTCAAATACATGGTGAATCATTGTTAAGCAAATCTAGCCAGCTGAGCTTCTGCCGGGGTGAAGAAACCCAGAAGCAAATGTGCACATACTCTATTGCAATATAGTTCTGAGTTCTAACATAATCAAATATAAAAGGCGAACCAGAAATAGCCCTCTAATGTCTAATTTAAGAATAGCAGCTCAAGCCCTTTCTTTAATAAAGAAATTAAACAGGACCGAGGTCCTAAAATATTCAATACAAAGAGCATGTCACAAAAAAAACTTTACTTTGCTGAACAATGTAGCTCCCATTCAGCTACTGAAGACCAAATTCCACTCTCCTTGTAAAGTCCTTAGGAGCAAAGCCTCTTGAAATGCAAATCCTGTCTTCTCAAAGAGGGGACAGTTATTGCCCAAAGAATAACTGGATTCATAAATTACTTGCTTAGTTACTAAAACACTTGTGCTTGGACTAAACTCTCATGACCTATTCAGTCCACCTCGCAGAACGGGTCAATTTTCTATGTGGCAAATGTTTGCAGGCTACAAACGGTATTAAGAGTATGGAGAACTAGATTGTCACTTACCAGAACTAGAAACCCAACCCTCTTCTGCTCTATTGCTGAGCGGAATCCTTTCTAATTACAAAGTGAACCATAACATATATTGTAAGCATGTTAGAATAACTTTCCACACTCTTCCTTTTGTAGGTTATATTCAAAGTCAAATGTGCAGCAGAATTCAATAAGTACAAGTAAGTGACTCCTCTTCTTGCCTACCCCAAACATGCCCTCATTGGGTGTATTAACGGTACAGCGTATCTGAAATCTACCAAATGCTACATTCGAACTTCATAGCAATAGCTTTGTTTGTTTTTTGTCTCTTACCCAGATGTTGTTGTTTAACAAAGATTAATTCAGTTACCTCAGAGCACAGTGGGGAAAGCAAAGTCCTGAAGAAGTTGTGGGCTAGTCACTGGGCAACCTGATCATCAGATTTGGGTGCCTACGTGGGTCTGGAGGTGAAGAACTCAATTGTACCCATAAGGGAGATGCTATAGCTCCTGGTTTGCCTCACACTCACACACTCTCTTACTTGCAGGGAGGCTGTCGTTGGTGCTAAGGGTATATCTACACAGCAATTGGGGCGGGGGGGGTGTCTAGCCAGTGCCAGCCGGCTCAGCCCCACAACCTGAACCCTGCGAGCTTGCTTCATTGCTGTGTGGACTTCCAGGCTCAGGATGGAGCCCAAGCTCTGGGACCCTCCCACCTCACAGAATCCGAGAGCTTGGGCTCCAGATGGAGCCCCAACATCTACACAGCAATGAAACAGCCCCATGGGCCAGCTGCTGGTGTCTTAGCTGCTGTGTAGACACAGCCTAAGGGTCTAGAATGAGCACTGCTATTGCCGCTGAGCGTTAGACAGCTCGTGTTTCTGTAACTCATGGGAGGCTATTGGTGCTCTAGCACATTAGAGTCACACCTGATGAGGCTGAGAACCATCGTAGAACACTTCTGGGATTCACCCCATCCTATCTAGCCATAAGCCAGTGAAGGAGTCTTACTTCTGTGGGCCTTTGTGATCCCTAGCTTATGAACCCATGCTGTGGGCATCACAACACGCCAGCCACTCCTGTTGCTCAAGCCTGTGTTAAGTCATTCTAATAGTACATCCTTCTGTATGGAAGAAGGGACTTCAGACCGTGTCCATTAGACCAAGAATTAACGGACCTGTGTCAGGAGACAAACTCTCAATGGGAAGTGTGTAGATAGATTGTAGTGTGTTTGCAGCCACTTATTTTCACCAAGGCTGGTGGTTGTTGGGCTGACTCTCAACTTACATTTAATCTAAGGGCTTGTCTACACTACCGCGGTAGTTCGACGGCTGGCAATCGAACTTCCGGGTTCGATTTATCGCGTCTGGTGTGGACGCGATAATTCGAACCAGGAAGTGCTCGCCGTCGACTGCGGTACTCCACGTCAGCGAGAGGAGTACCGCGGAGTCGACGGGGGAGCCTGCCTGCCGTGTGTGGACCGCGTCTGAACCGCGGTAAATTCGAACTAAGGTATGTCGACTTCAGCTACGTTATTCACGTAGCTGAAGTTGCGTACCTTAGATCGAATTGGGGTGTTAGTGTAGACCAGGCCTAAG